AAGAAATTTAATCAGACAATTTCAAAGAGATGATAGTAGGAAGTCTAAAATTAACTGTGATACAATATGAGTTTTTATCTATTCATTCTAATGTGTCACTCATGACATACATATATGTTATATATAATATATATATGTACACTCACATGTAGAATCTTCTGATCAAGCAAAATTATAGGCCAAAGCAACTGGTTGATGGACAGAAACCTAAGAAAGTGAATTCATTTTGTGCTGAGTGTAATTTAGGACTGAAATACCAAAATATCAAGTATTTTGTGTTTTTAGGCAACTAACGGCGGTGCTCAGGAATTACTTCTAGTTTGCTGCTCGGGGATCACTCCTGGCAGTGGTTGGGGACCAGGCAGTGCTCAGGATCAAATCTGTGACTCTCACAGGCAAAGTCTGTGCTCTGGTCCTCTGAGTCATCTATCTGGCACCATGATCAAGTCTTTTCAATAAAACAAGAAAGTGTCCACCCTGCTTTTTAGTTTAATAGTGCATTCACTGTCAAATGTGCAAATACATATCAAATACTTTTTCATTGTGTTAAAAATGTTCAAGTATACTGCTGAAAAAAGGCTGGGCCTGAAGTGGTTGACCCAGGTTTGATCCCCAGCAGCTCATATGGTTCCCTGAGCACAGAGTGAGGAGTAAGCCTTGAGCACCGCTGGATGTGGCCTCCAAACAAAAACAAACAAAAGACAAAACAAAACAAAAAGAATAAAAGTCAATAAAAACTTTCTGAAGTTATTAAAGGCAAGGCAGGCAACTTGAGAGAAACAGGAATAGGGTCTAGAGGATTTCCTTCGGATGTTAAGGTCTCTCTCTAACTAAATAAAATCCAAAGTCATCCAGAGGCAAGGGCTCCCCAAAGACACACTCTTCAGCTATGATATTCTGATTCTGGAGTCAAACACCTAATACTCAATTTTCTAATCAACCTAACTTTAACCAGCAGTTTCAGCTAATAACAACTTCCAAGACTGTCTCTATCAATAAAATCAACATCAAAAATGATACTAGTGCAGATGAAGATGCGTAGAGATAAAAGTGGATTAACATTTGAGATTAGCTTAAAAATATTTCAGTGGATTCTGGAAATATACCCTGGGGGCCCAAAAACATAGCAGAAATGCCATCTGCCCATCTATGTTCACTGCAGAATAATTCCCAATAGCCAGAATCTTGAAATAACCCAAGTGATTGAGAACTGATAACTGGATAAAGAAACTATCGTATATCTACACAATGGAGTACTATGCAGCTGTTAGGAAAAACGAAGTCATGAAATCTGCATATAAATGGATGGCCACGGAGAATATCATACTGAGTAAAATGAGTCAGAAGGAGAGTGGCACATATCGAATGACCGGACTCACTTGTGGGATATAAAAAAAAAATAGCATGAGACTAATATCCAAGAAAACAGGGGATAAACAGGGGCCAGAGGACTGGTCACTGGTTGGAAGCTTGCTACAAGTGTGTGGGGAGCAAAGGGCAGTTAGAGAAAGGACCAGTATGACAATAATTAGAAATGATCACTCTGGACAAGAACTGAGTGTTGAAAGTAGGTAAAGAGATATACATGATAACCTTTCAATATCTATATTGCAAACCATAATGCCCAAAAAGGAAGGGGGAAGAGAATGAGAGAGAGAGAGAGAGAGAGAGAGAGAGAAGAAAGAGAGAGAGAAAAAGTAACTGCCATAGAGGTAGGTGGAGGGTGGCGGTAGAAGATGGCAGGAAGGGGGTATTGGTGGTTGGAAATGTACACTGATGAAGGGATGGGTATTGGAACATCTATGACAGAAACCAACTATGAACACCTCTGTAAGAGTGTATCTCACTGATTCAATAAAAACTAATAAAAATGCCAGTGGAAAATTTCAGTGAGAAGAACAATTCTTTAAAATATTTATGTGACAACCCCATTCCCCAGACCCCTTGTTTTTGAGGTTTCAGCAGTGCTTGGGGCTCCTTCTGGCTCTGTGCTCAGGAATAACTACACCCAGTGGTGCTCTGGGGATCATATGTGATGCTGGGGATCAAACAAGTGTCAGGCATGTATAAGGCTAGCACTCTGACACATTTTTCTTTTTTGACTTTTGTGCTTGGTTCATAGTGGACCTGGCATGCAGTGTTTGGGGTTGATTCTGGGGTTTAACATATGAAAGCATGTATTCTAGTCTTCTGAACTATCTCCAGAATTTCAATACATGAAACTTTCTTAAAAGGAACCTTATGATGTTGATGGACCTCAACATCAGACCAGAATCCATAAGGTACATTGAGGAAAAAGTTGGCAAAAACCTCCATGACACAGAAGCTAATGGTATCTTCAAAGATGTCACACCGCTGGCCAAGCAAGTGAAAACAGAGATAGACAAATGGGACTATCTTAAACTAAGAAGCTTCTGCACCTCAAAAGTAACAGTGACCAAAATACAAAGATAGTCTACAGAATGGGAAAGGATATTCGCCAAATACACATCTGACAAGGGGTTGATATCAAGGACATACAAAGTACTGGTTGAACTCCACAAAATGAAAACATCCAATCCCATCAAAAAATGGGGAGATGAAATGAATAGAAACTTTCACAAAGAAGAAATCCAAATGGCTAAAAGGCACATGAGAAAATGCTCTGCATCATTAATCATCAGGGAGATGCAGATCAAAACCACAATGAGATATCATTTCACACCACAGAGACTGGCCCATATCCACAAGAACAAAAGCAACCAGTGCTAGCACGGATGTGGCGAGAAAGGGACACTCTTTCACTGTTGGTGGGAATGCCAACCGGTTCAGCCCTTTTGGAAAACAGTATGGACGATTCTCAAAAAATTAGAAATTGAGCTCCCATTTGACCCAGCAATACCACTCCTGGGAATATGTCCCAGAGAGGCAAAAAAGTATAGTCAAGGTGACATCTGCAATTGTTTGTTCATTGCAGCACTCTTTACAATAGCCAGAATCTGGAAAAAACCTGAGTGCCCGTGAACAGATGACTGGTTAAAAGAAACTTTGGTACATTTACACAATGGAGTACTATGTAGCTGTTAGAAAAGATGAAGTCATGAAATTTACATACAAGTGATACTACATGGAAAGTATCATGTTAAGGGAAATGACTCTGAAAGAAAGGGATAGACATAGAAAGATTGCATTCATCTGGGGAACATAAAGTAACAAAATAGGAGACTAACACCCAAGAATGGCCGAGATTAGTACCAGGAATTTTACTCCATGGCTTGGAGGCCAACCACACATGCTAGGGGAAAAGGGAGCTCAGATAGAGAAGGGAACACCAAATAAAGGTGTTGGGAGGATCCTCCCAGGATGGGAGAAGCATGCTGAAAGTAGACTGTAGACCAAACATGATTGTCACCCATTGCCTCTTTTGCAAATCACAACACCCAATAAAAGAGAGAGAACAAAAGGGAATGTCCTGCCACAGAGGCAGGGTGGGATGGAGGGGATGGGGGGTGGGAGGGATACTGGGATCCGTGGTGGTGGGATATGGGCACTGGTGGAGGAATGGGTATTTGATCATTATATAACTGAAACCCAAGCACAAACATTTTAAGTCTACAACTGTACCTCATGATGTCTCACAAAGATAAAAGGTAAAGGTAAAGGCCCTCCCGTTGTTCATCGATTTGCTTGAGCGGGCCCAGTAACATCTCCATTGGAGACTTTGTTTTTACTGTGTTTGGCATATCGAATACATCACGGGGAGCTTGCCGGGCTCTGCCGCGTGGGCCAGATACTCTCGATAGCTTGCCGGGCTCTCCGAGAGGGGCAGAGGAATCGAACTCGGATCGGCCATGTTGGCTGCGTGCAAGGCAAACACCCTACCGCTGTGCTATCACTCCAGATGTCTCACAAAAAAAAAAAAAAGGAAAAGAAAATGAAGTGACATGACACTTGATCTGAAGAACTGAGAGTAAATGAAAAAAAAAAAAGGAACCTTATGGACTACAGAGAGGGCCAAATGCATACTTGGTAAGCAAGAGCACATATCCGATTCCCAGTACTGCATTTGATGTCACAAACACTGACAGGAGTATTCCCCCAGCACTGAAATGGGAGTATGGAAGTAGTCATCAATATAGATATGGGCCCAGGATTTTTCAGGGGAGGGCTCACCCCAGTGGGCTGCTCCTGCCTGGAATGTTTCTGGGGACAAGGCATTGCTTGTGCAGTGTGGGGGATCAAACACAGGCCTCCTGGCATGCAAAGTGTGTACGTTAGCCCTTTGAGCTATCTCCCTGGCCTCTGAAAAGAAAGTTTTGCTCAAAGAATTATAGATGCTCTAGAATTTGGCCCTGTTTACTAAGCTAAAACAAAACCAAACTGGCATTTATCCATCTTTCTCAAAGGTGACATATATCTACACGTATCTGGGTTTAGGGGTTATGTATACGTCCCAAATACATTTTCTAACATGAACCTAAAAATAAGAGAAGTCTAACTTTTTCAGTTGAACACAATGGCTATAATACACAAAAGACAAGAATGTGAATTCCACTTTAACTTTCACTTTGAAAGAAAGAAAATGCTAATTCCCAGAATTCATATTCCAAGGAGTTTCTTGCCAACTCAGATCCAATGGGGTTTTCTGCTGGGGATTTAACTCTAGCAGTTACAGAAACAAGAGGGGGTGGTGTGGTGGCCCAGCTGTTTCAGGAGGTCATGACTCAAACAGAATTAATCCTCCCCTGTGGTAAAGAAAAACACTTCACCCTGAGAAAATACACTAGCAGGAGGCCGCACTGCTCCAGGCCTTCCCTATTCCCTTGCTCCTCCACAGGGCCTCAGCAATCCCTCTCTGCCATGTGTCCCGACTGGCCCTCTGAGGTAAGCAAAATATCCTTCCCGCCCAAGAGGAGTCAGGCCAACAGGAGTCACCATACTTGGCCCTTGGCAAAATCAGGCTGGGGCAACTATAAAGTCATTTGTGCTAGATTAGAAACAAAGGAGGAGTCATCAGACAGTAACAAACTCTCCCAGAGTTTATTTGTTGAGCATTAAGTTTCGTGACCACCTGGGGCCTGCACTAACACTTTGTGTCAGAAACAGCAGTCAAGGACATAATTCAGAATTCACTTTCCTAACACTGATGTCCTGGAGACTTCATTTCTAAAAATGAGGTATTTGGTTTACTGTCCCAATCAGTAAAGGAATGGGGCAAAACTCAGAAAAGATCTAGTAAAGTAATCAAATGGAAGTGAATATGCTGAAACCGTAGAAAAATCTGGCAATAGTTGCTGTGACACCCTGAGTATTTTGATTACAGCCCAAATAAACCTACTTACCTTCTATCTCTACAAGCAAAACCCAGCGTATTTTTCCCCATTAGGGGTTTAGAAAAGACTATGAGAATGAATAAGAAAGAATAGGTGCATATAAGTATTCAGGAGAATAGAGTATAGATGAAAGGTAGTGATAAAGATCACTCTCTTTGTCCTTTTTCCCATGCTAATCAAAATATCTTACTAATGTGCCATCATGATTTTTTTTTGTTTTCAAATTATCTTAGGAAAACGTTTAGAATTATAGCAACAATAGCATTTACAGGTGAATTTACATGGAACTGCTGACAAAGTTCAAAATATCACAAAGGATCTTGAGAAGACAGTTGAGCACTTCACATAAAAAACTGAGCTATTAGGTTAGCGAGGCCCAAAATGATAATGAAGATGTGAAAGATGTAAAAGATTAATTTGGGCCACGTAAATCGCTCTTCTCGGTGGAGGGAAATTATATAGATGAGTGATGGATATATGAACACAAAGGCCAGGCCACATGCTGCTCCCGAGTACCTGTAAAACAAAAGCTTTGTGGGTTAATAATCGTCTTGCTTTTTCCTTTGTTTGGTTTATAATGAAGCTAATATAGCACAATTCTTGCTCTTCAGTCTGTTTTTGCAAGAAAATTATTTTTGATTCATTGCTGATATAAAGTATTTGAATTAAAAACGTATCTTATGTGCTAAATAATGTATCCTCTATTTCACTTGTTTAAATAGTACATTATTTCCTGTTCATCTTTATCACATCTGCTTGACAAAGAGCTTTTTCATTCTTCTTTCAAACCTCCATCGTTCCTGTGGCTCAGTGATTGTGACTATTTCCGCAGAAACATCTGGAGAAAGCCTTTCCACCTTTGATCTTTTATAAACTACTCACACATTCTGAGTTTCTAAAGCTCTGAGAGCATTTGCTTAAGAATGGAAACAGAGATGTACAATAGTGTAACTGTCAAAGATAATGGTGAATCAGAAACACCTAAATGTGAGACTTACAGAGGAAAATGCACTTCAATAAGCATCAGGCATATTACTGTCCCCATTTATTTTTTGCTACTTTCTTAGCTAAGACTCTCACAAAGGTGCTTCTGCTCTATATTTTGCATGTTAAAGAAGAGAACGCAGATCCTTCTAAACCCCTGTGTTTATGGAAATCTGAGATTACAACTTTACCTTGATCAGCTCGATCAATCATATAATTTGAGAGAAAGAATATGAAGAATTGTTTGGGTTATAAATTTTTACTTTCTAGCACTAACTGACACTAAAGTTTTGAGGAGAAATGGATTAAGAAACTTTGTATAAGAGATCTTCCAAGTACCAGTAAGAAGTTATATGTTAAATAGTAACCTTTTTTTTTTTGCTTCGGATAAAGAGAAAGGAATATAGTAGAATATAAGAAAAAGAAAATAAGAGAGGGAAAGGTACCTAAGTCGAAGGGATAATGAGTTTTCAAACAAAAGAAATAAGCGAAAATAGAAGAGAGTGAGGAATCTTAGCTAAAACCAGGGACATCATAAATCTTAGATACTAGTAAATATTGCATACAATTAAACTAAACCCTAATCATCAACAGAAAATTCATACTATTAGCACCAACATATGAAGGGATGGGGTTATTGGCAGTACCTAATGATTCCTCCTATGTTTGGGTAGAAACAGGCCATGATCACTCCAGCTCCCACAATTAACAGATTGAGAATCAGCACGTGGAATATGCTAGAGAAAAAAAAAATAGAAATCAAAACCCTGACAAATTACATTATGATGAGAATACAATAATAAAAATTCTTTTCACGGCAGAGCCTGGCAAGTTCCCTCTGGTGTATTCAATATGACAAAAACAGTAACAAGTCTCATAATGGAGAAGTTACTGGTACCATTCAAGCAAATCAATGAACAATAGGAGGACAGTGCTACAGTGCTACTGACAAAAATGTTGCATGCCTTAAATTTGACAAAAATAGGAGGCAACAATAGTATTCACTGCAGGTTAAGGGGCCAAAGTCACTGGCCTTTTTGTGATACTATAATATAAACAAGTTAGATGATTTATAGAAGCAAAATTATAAATCACACCCTGATCCATAACACTACTTTGAAATATCTTTGGAAAGTAATCAAAGACATGAAAAAAAGCTATTAATATAAAGACAACATAGAAAAACAAAAGTATGCTTGAGAGCAGTATAACAACTAATTCAACTAAATATATTAAATATTATTTTTAAAGTGATAAGGAAATACAGTGAAAGTTACTGTTTTGAGATTTGAGACAAGTTTTCCTTTCTATATCTAACAGATTTCTGTATCTTCCAATATTTCATTCTAAAAAGTGTTTTGTAACTTTTATAATGAGAAAATTCATTATTTAAAGGGGCTATTTTTTAATCTTTCTGATCCAGCCATTTCAATCTATTCAGTTTTTACCACAAATAGATTCTTCACTAGATACTTGACATTGATTGACATGGGGGAGGCGTTGGGGTGGTGGTGGTGTTGGGCCACGCCAATGATGCTCAGAGCTTACTCTTGGCTCTCTGTTCATGGATCACTCCTGGTGGTGCTGGTGATCAAAACGGGCTGCAAGACAAATGCCTTTAGCCCTGTACCGTCTCTCTGGTACCTCAGTAGATCCAGTAGAAGTTAACAGTTTGGGAATCAATTTGGGACACGAATAGAAATAAGACAGTTGCAATTTGATGCACAAGAGGTAACATTTCCCTGAAAATTATTTCCAAGACCTAAATTTACATATCAGAACAACCTCTTGAATCCAAGATCTTAGGGTAATTAATGCCAGAAAATGTTATGGAGAAAATTAAAAGTAAGGAAAATCATTTACACAGATAAATGGTTAGTCATTCCTCCTGTTCCTCTTGATGAACTACAAATACATTCAGGCCTCCAGATCTTACTCTATATCCAGAAACTTCAACATTAAAATTGCTTCAGTGCTTTGAATCACTGGTTGGTCTTTTGTTATTTTTGTACTGTAAAAGGAAACAACTTAGTGCATTTTCCAAAGTAGTGATTCGCAAAGTATGACCACAAATCCCAGAGAATGCCTGATACCTTTTTCAGGAAGTCTGTGAGGTAAAAATTATTTTCATTATCATACCAGACATTTGAGAAAATCGATGAACAACGGGAAGACAGTGCTACAGTGCTACCAGACATTATATGCTTTGTAAAAGCTGCCCTATAGCACGGCAAAGGCAGTAACACTTATTTGTATGTAGATCTCCATTCTTGACTGGCAAACATGGGAAAAGTTATTTAAAAATTGTCCTTCAGGGACTGGGAAGATAACTCAAAGGGATGGAACAAATGTTTTGTATGCTGGAGCTTTCAGTTTTGTTTGGTTTTGTTCCATACCAAGTGAGGGTTGTTCCTGGCAGTGATCAGGGGGATCATGGATGCCAGAGATCAAACCTCCAAGCAAAGGATTGCTCCAGCCCCTAGAGCTTTCTCTCTGATTCCGGTTTGATTCCTGGCACATCGTTGCTCCCCCAGTACCACTTGGCAGAGATGACACTGACAGCACCATGCCCAGAAAAGCCCCAGAGAAATCCATTTAGTGTGGTTCCCCCCAAAAAATAAAAACAAATTTATTGGTAAAGGAATAAAAATGATTAATTTAATCATTTTCAAATAAGATTAATTTCATAATTTCATATGTTCAAATCATGTGTTTTGAACAAATATTCTTTTTTAGTATTCAGAATCAAATAGGAAATCTATAATAAAGTACACCGCAGGATACTTAAGTATCATGGCTATCTTGAGGAAAAGTACCTGTGCAAGTGGAAAGTCAACCAAGTTGGATTTCTCTAAGGAATGGTCTTTACCTTGGAGACAAATTATGGCCATTCAGACCTGAGATAGGAACATATCATTTAAAAAAAAAAAACAGTTGGTAGCATGTGCATCCAAAGACAAAATTTGAGCTTTCAATGAAAAATTAGAATTTTTTGAGACAGTATTTGCTACCCAAAGCTTGGCAGTTTTTCAATATTTAAAAACTTCTATATAACAGTGGTTGTAAAATAAACGAAAGTGGGTTTTAGTATTACTTAGTGAAGTGTGCTCATGTGGAAGATCTACAGAGCTATGTGAATCATTATTTCCCAAATGATTAGTCATGATGCTATAACTTCATGCATTAGTAAAAGACCAGTGTGAGGAAGATTAGTGGGGCTTACTGCAACCAAACTTCAGATTCAACTAATTTTTAAGAAACTTGGCATAGAACCCAAAAAAGAATGTCTATAATTATTTATCTATGTATTAAAAGAACATCTTTTTCTAATTATATGTCTACTTGATGGTGGATGTTCTTTATATATTTAAATGAAAAACAACATATAACAGATTGAATGCAGAAGAGAAGAAAGCATATTAAACGTTGAGTTTTTAATACATTAAAGTAAAAATTGGGAGAAAATATATCACATAAATATAGTATTCATTTTAACAGTAGTATTTAAAAGAACTAATAAATATTTGGAAATTCTATTTCAATTTTTCACAGGTTAAATATGGATAGACAGAAGGGCATTTTGAGCTCCTGAGAAACCTCAATGAGCTTGGTTATCGTGTGGATATGAATACATTCATTGATTTAAAGAAGGCCTTTGATTCTGTTGAGAAGGGAGTGGTCATTGAAGCCCTAGCCAATCAGAGCTTTCAAACTCAATACATCAGGATCCTCCGTGAGCTGTATTACGGATTCAATACCAGGATCTCACCATTCTATAAAGAAGTGATCATCCATGTTGAGAGAGGGGTTCGGCAGGGTGATACTATTTCACCGAAACTATTCAGTGCCACCCTCGAGAACGTCATATGACGACTGGAATGGGAAGGAAGGGGAGTGAAGATAGATGGTCGGCAACTACACCACCTCTGCTTTGCTGATGACATCATTCTAATAACACCAAACATTAGCCAAGCAGCACAAATGATGACCAACTTCGACTGTGAGTGTGGAAATGTCGGATTATAGCTGAATCTCACAAAGACAATGTTCATGAGAAACAGTCTTGTTACTGATGTTCCATTCACTCTCAACAGAACGACCATCTCCGAATGCAACAGTTATGTGTACCTCGGTCAAGAAGTCAACATGACGAATGACCTGGCACCTGAGTTGCTCAGGAGGAAGAGAGAGGCTTGGAAATAGCTAAGAGGATGAAGAACCTCCAGCTCCGGGCACATCTCTTCGATTCCACTGTTCTTCCTGCATTAACATACGCCTCAGAGACCTGGACCCTATGAAAACAGGATGAGAATGCTATTCGGATCTCCCAAAGAGGAACTGAAAGAGCTATGCTTGGAGTATCACGCTTCACTCAAATGAGAGAAAGAATCCAGAGTTCTGACCTCCGTCAATACTCAAGAATCAGGGATGCTGTCTCGTTTGCCAAGGCGTCGAAAATCAGATGGGCTGGACATGTAATGAGATTTAGAGACAACCGCTGGAGTAGAGCCATTACTGACTGGATTCCCTGGGGCGTCAAAAGATTGTGTGGCCACCCACCTATGAGATGGTCAGACTTCTTTGTCAAGACCCTGAACGATTGGTTTGAGGCTCCTCGTGTTCCTAGAACGAGCAGATGCCATTGGGCTACACTAGCACGTGACGGGGATGAATGGAGACATTACAGGCGCCCACTCGAGTAAATTGATGAGTAACAGGATATCAAGTGATCAAGTGATCAAATATTGATAGATGAACCACATTAAAGTTCCTGGGGGTTCTCAGTAAACTTTAAGAATGTATGCTTCAAAGTAGGCATTCTATGAAGCATTTTTCACTGTACGGCAGGTTATACTGCACTCATGATGGTAGGAGAATGAATGAAGGTGAGTGAATACAAAAGAAAATTTCCAGATTTTTTCCCAAAAAGAAAAATTCTAATATTCAATAATAAGTAAAATATGGCAGAAAACAGGATTATGTATTTACATATGATTTTTTTAAATCTATGATTTCATTCATTAGACGAATGGCATCTTGAACTCCTGAGAAACCTCAATGAGCTTGGTTATCTTGTGGATATGGTTGATCGTGCTGAATCTTTTTCGGAACCCGGCTTACTCGCATGGTTTTCCTTCATCTAGTGTTCTGCCAATCCTATTCAGGGTGACTCGAGTGAACAGCTTGTAGATGACAGACAACAGGCAGATCAGGCGATAGTTGCCAATGTCGTGGATGTCTCCCTTCTTGTACAGTAGTACAGTCCTGCTGATTTTCCATTGGGACGGAACCTTGCATTCAGACAGGTAACATGTGAAGAGTCAAGCCAGTGTATTGATGAGTACTGATGGTAGGTTCTTCAGGTGTTCAGGTCTGACCTTGTCTGGGCCAGGTGCTCTTCATTTCTTTACCGATGAGATGACATGTTGGATTTCGGAAGGGAAAACATTGGGAACAACATATCCAAGGTGCAGAATTTGGTATGTGGGCAGGTGGATGTGGCTACCAAACAGATCTGAGTAGAAGTCATGGATAATCTTCCCCATTGCCCTTCTGGAAGATGAAATAGACCCATCAGGATGTCGGAGGGCAGTCATCTTGGTCTTGTAGTTGGCAAAGGACAGGCGGGTGTTGCGAATGCTTTTCCTGGCTTCTGCCACATCTGCCAGCACTGCTGCTCTTCTCTCTTTGAGGTCTTCCTTTATCGCATCTCTGCACTGCTTTGCAAGCTCAGACGTTTGCTTATGGTTGCCTGAGGCTTGCGACAAGCCACATTGGCGAATGAGCTCAAGAGTTTTCGAAGACAGGCATCTTTTTGTGGCTATCTCTCTCTTGGTGTTCCTTGCACAATCATGGAGGTGCTGTACCAGTCGACTGATTTCATCGTCAATGTTGTCAACAATGGCATCTTCCCATGTTGCGGCAATAGTGCCAAAGAGCTCCCAGTTGGTGGTTGTTCTGGGAGTTCTCTTCTTAAACTTTGCAGCCCTTTCTCCCCGCTCCTTGAAGAAGAATTTTGCACGAAGGAGATGGTGGTCCAATCCCATTTGGAATTTTGGGAAAACAGCGACATCGGTCAGGCAAAACCATTGATTGACTATGATGTGGTCAATTTCGTTGTGGAACAGTCCACCGGGAGACTCCCATGTCCAACATTTAGATTCGGCCTTCTGGAACTGTGAGTTACCATGGGTAGTCTTGATCAACATGAGGAATTCAGTCTCTCACCCTGTTTGTTCCATTCTCAATCATGGGTCCCAATGTGAAGTTCTTCGGCTGATCTTCTCGGTCCTATCTTGGCATTAAAATCACTGACAATGATCTTGTAGAAGGTGTGGTCTTCTTTATAGAACTTCTCCAGCTCCATGTAGACTTCTCAATTTCTCCTTCATCTTAATTGGATGTTGGTGCATAGACGAAGATAGAAACTGCCGGCAGTAAGTCACATCTATTCAAGTGTAATCGATTCGGGTTGTTAGGCATTCGAATAAATCAATGCTCATGGCCAAGTTCGTGTTGACAAGGACACCGACACCACTGACGCCTCTTTTGTCCCATGTTCTGAGGAACAGTTCTTCTCCAGAGTCGAAAACAGCATGATGTGATTGATGCCTTCTCGTCTCGGGCAGACCAATGATGCCTAACACTCTGTCTAATGTTTATTGATTTAAAGAAGGCCTTTGATTCTGTTGAGAATGAAGTGGTCATCAAAGTCCTAGCCAAACAGGGCATTCAAATTCAATACATCATGAGCTCTATTAGAGATTCACTAACAGGATCTCACCATTCTACAGGGAGGTGATCATTGATTCCAAGAGAGGGGTTCGGCAGGGTGATACCATTTCACTGAAACTCTTCAGTGCCACCCTCGAGAACATCATGCAACGACTGGAATGGGAAGGAATGGGAGTGAAGATAGAAGGTCAGCAACTACACCACCTCCGCTTCGCCGATGACATTGTTCTAATAACACTGAACATTAGCCAAATGGCACAAATGCTGGCTGACTTCAACCATGAGTGTGGAAAGGTTGGACTATAGCTGACTCTCGGGAAGACAATATTTATGAGAAACGATCTTGTTCCTGACGTTCCATTCAGACTCAACAAAATGAACATCTCCGAATGCAACGGTTATGTGTACCTAGTTCGAGAACTCAACATGATGAAGGACCTGGCACCTGAGTTTTGCAGTAGGAAGAGAGCGGCTTGCAACGCCTTCAAGGGTGTTGAAGAAATAGCTAAGAGCACGAATAACCTCCAGCTCCAGGCAAAACTCTTCGATTCCACTGTTCTTCCTGCATTAACATATACCTCAGAGATCTGGACCCTACAAAAACAGGATGAGAACGCTATTTGGTTCTCCCAAAGAGGAATCGAAAGAGTTATACTTGGAGTATCATGCTTCACTCAAATAGAGAGAGAATCTGGAGTTCCAACCTCCACTGACGATCAAGAATCAGGGATGCTGAATGATCCGTTTGAGGCGTTTCGTGTTCCTAGAATGAGCAGACCCCTTCCTCCCTCACCACTCCATGTGCGTCCCTCCCGAAGCTGTGTACTCGGTCGAAGAGGACGGTCTTCCCTGAAGAGAGACAGACCAGTCTTCGGTTGAGGGTATACGAGTAGCTGCGCTCCCCTGCTAGAACCTCCAAACAAACTCTCTAGAATGAGCAGACCCCATTGGGCTATACTAGCACGTGACAGGGACGAATGGAGACATTACTGGTGCCCACTCGAGCAAATCAATGAGTAAAGGAATGTCAAGTGATTTAGTGATCAAGTGATGATTTCATTCAGTATCTTTACTTTGGATGATATAAATATAATATAGAGTATATATACTACAGGGATCTGAAGTTACAGAACTTCAGTTTTCTAGGTGGGCAATATTAGAATTGTAGCTGCTGCTGTTGCCAGTGTAAGAGACCTGGTAACTCTTGACTTTTGCTTTTAAGAGACTCTTTTAATTTTAAATTTAATTTTAAATTAAAAAATTTTAAAACAACATGGGCCTGGAGTGATAGCACAGTGGGTAAGGTGTTTGCCTTGCACACGGCTGACCTGGGTTTGATTCCCAGCATCCTATAGGGTTCCCTGAACACCGCCAGGAGTGATTCCTGAGTGCAGAGCCAGGAGTAACTACTGTGCATCGCCGGGTGTGACCCAAAAAGCAAATAAATAAATAAATAAATAAAACAAATCTGTAACTGATAATTTGATGAACAGCAGAGATCACTGAAAACAATGATTAGGATCACTGGGTTAGTTGGTCACTACAAATGCAACCTTTAAAAAAGTTTTTGGGCTACATCTAGTGGTACTCAAGAATTTACTCTGTGATCAGGAATCACTCCTTGCAGTGCTCAGGGGATTACATGGGGTGCTGGAGATCAAACCTGGGCCAGTCATATGCAAGGCAAGTGTCTTACCAGCTATACTAACACTCCAGGGCCTACAAATGGAATTTAAAAAATTTAACCCAAAATTTTCTTCAATTACTGTTAATTTATTCTCAGGAAAATAGGCTAACAACAGTAGGTACTCTTTGCTTAGATGAATATATGATAAAACTTAAGAGTAGGAAGTAATGATGGGGTGATGAGATTTCAGGGAAACCTTGAGGCAGTAAATGAAAATTTCTCCTGTGTGCTGATGATTATTTGTGCAGATACTCAAAATGACACACCATTCCTTGCACACTTTACTTTCAATTCTAAACAGATATTACATATATAAAAATTTATGAATGTTAATTTACACAAATAAACATCAACAACCACAAATTAAAATAAAAATTGCAATACAAGTACCATGTACTTTACTCTTGGCACGATGTAGATTAATAGCCACTAAATCATGAGATAAATATATCTGGTCTCAATGCTACGTAACTGTACTGGAAGGAAATCATTTAAAATCATTCTGGACAAGGGAGTGGCCCCTATTTTTAAAACTCTTCAGGGAAAAGGAACACTAATGAGCTATACTTAGTAACCATTTTCATTGGAGCAAATTTTTATAGCAAAAGGACAGTCATATTTTAAACTGACCTGTTTGCACAGTCATTTGTTGCTTGGCACATCTTGCCAGTCAAGAGAAGAGCCCTTACCTAGGATAAATGTCACCGAAGACATGACCCAGCAGCTGGACACGAGCCAAGTAGCCCAAGAGGGGGTATACAGTCATCATCTGGAACAGCAGGAATATCCTTGCAATGAAGGACAGGATGTCACTGCTTGGGAAGTTGTCTAAAAAATTCTGAGAAAGATATTGATGTTAAAAACATAATAGTACAAGAATGGGAGACAAACACCCAAGAATAGTTGAGATAAGTACCAGGAGGTCTTATGGCTTGGAAGCTGGCAGCACATGCTGGGGGAAAAGGCAGCTCAGATAGAGAAGGGAACACCAAGTAAAGTATGTTTGGAGGATTCACTCAGGATGCAAGATGCATGCTGAAAGTAGACTATAGACTGAACATGATGGCCACTCAATACCTCTACTGCAAACCACAACACCCTAAAGGAAAGAGAGAGCAACAGAACCCAGCAACTTGGAGCAGAAAAGTGAAAGGACTATGCGTTAATCCAGGCAATCATTTCTGCCCAGAGGGGAAAGGGTGTTGCTCCCTTCCGCCCTCCTCCCTCTGGAAAGAAAGATGGCGGCCACATGGGAGCCTTGTGGACAGCAGGTATGAGCCGGGGGTGTGGGGGCGACTAAAACCTCATGGGAAGGGGGGCGTTCCGGTCCGTCCTTCACGCCCTACCGAGGTCACCAGTTGCCCCCAAAGCGGCTCTCCAGCACAGCCACGGCCCCAGAAGCACAAGGACTTAATGCAGAACCCAGCAGCTTGGAGCAGAAAAGTGAACAGACTATGCATTGATCCAGGCTATCAAGTCTGCCGGAGGGGAAAGGGTGTTGCCCCATTCGCCCTCTCCTCTCTGGAAAGAAAGATGGCGGCCACATGGGAGCCTTGTGGACAGCAGGTATGAGCCGGGGGAGTGGGGGCGACTAAAACCTCATGGGTCGGGGGGCGTTCCGGTCCGTCCTTCACGCCCTACCGAGGTCACAAGTCGCCCCCCACGAGCGGCTCTCCAGCACGGCCATGGCCCCAGAAGCACAAGGACTTAATGCAGAACCCAGCAGCTTGGAGCAGAAAAGTGAACGGACTATGCATTGATCCAGCCCATCAAGTCTGCCGGAGGGGAAAGGGTGTTGCCCCATTCGCCCTCTCCTCTCTGGAAAGAAAGATGGCAGCCACATGGGAGCCTTGTGGACAGCAGGTATGAGCCGGGAGTGTGGGGGCGACTAAAACCTCATGGGAAGGGGGGCGTTTCGCTCCGCCCTTCACGCCCTACCGAGGCCACCAGTTGCCCCCCACGAGCGGCTCTCCAGCACGGCCACGACTCCAGAACACAGAAACCAATTTCTTAACTATCTGACTTTCAGTAGAAATACTTCCAGGGTCAATAGGTAAAATAGCAGAAATCCAAAACCAACATTTAATTCTTGAACCCAGCTGTAGAAAGCAAATCACTTCACAATGCTTTTTCAGCATGTCTGATTTGGGGGGGGGGGGGGAAACTCTAAATAATAGTGGTGAATCTTTTATTGAAACAATCTAATCAAAGCGGATAGAGTGTTAACTAGAGTTCATCTGCCTCACAGGGACGGGGAGGGGTGGGGGGTGGGGTTTTATTGGGGTTCTTCATGGGAAAAGGTGAGTGTTGGTAAAGGGAAATGTGTTTGATGTTTGCATGACTGAGACATAAACCTGAAAGCTTTGTAGCCTTTCCCACAGTGATACAATAAATAAATAAATAAATAAAAAAAAAGAAAAAAAAAAAAAAGAAAAGCAGGTAAAAAAAAAAAAAAAAAAAAAAAAAAAAAAAAAAAAAGGAAAGAGAGAGCAAAAGGGAATGCCCTTCTACAAAGGTGGGGCGGGGTGGGGGAGGATGGGGATGGGGTGGGTGGGAGGGTTACTGGGATCATTGGTGGTGGAGAATGGGCACTGGTGGAGGGATGGGTACTCAATCATTGTATAACTGAAACCCAAGCATGAAAGTTTGTAAATCTACAACTGTACCTCACAGTGTTTCACTAATAAAAACAATACAAAACAAAACACAATAGCACAGCTGTTATTCAAATTGTAGCTTGTGGACTGGTTTTCTTTTGCAAATTGTTGCTTAATTATTTTTCAATAATAATAATGGACACTGAAAGTGCTTATAAGCTTTTACAGAGGTTTATTTCAGTTTTTTTTTTTTGCGTCACACCCGGAATGCACAGAGGTCACTCCTGGCTTGTGTACTCAGGAATTACTCCTGGCAATGCTTGGGGGACCATATGGGATGCTGGGAATCGAACCCGGGTCAACTGCGTGCATCATTCCAGCCCCAAGCTTTTACAGAGTTTTTAACATGATCACCCCTTACCCATACCCCCACCCCCATTTTACAAAAGGATCTGGTTGTAACTGATTTGGCAAAACAATAAAAACCCTTGCCTTTTACCACAAATAATTTGAGAAGCATTGCCTAGTAAGGTTCAAGCATAAACTTTATGATATTTAAATGGCTAATTTAATTCAGTGTATTTCATCAGTACTAGCTCTCTTGATTTTCCTTCTCTGAAGCATTATAACACTTTCAGAGACAATATTAGAGAATAAGGCAAAAATACATCCATTACTTTGTATCACTGTTAGAGTAAACAAAATCACTAAATACAAAATGCCACTTAACATCACTAAATAAAAAAAAATTACTTTTTTTCTTTCATGATTCTTTTCTTCTTTTTTTGGTTGTTATCTAAAAAAGTTAATCACAGAATTTTCCCCTCTTGATTACAAACAGTAACAATAACGGGTGTCATTCCCCTGACCCTGAAAGAGCCTCCAATTGTTGGGAAAGATGAGGAAGGAGAGGCTGCTAAAATCTCAGGGCTGCGACGAATGGAGATGTTACTGGAGCCCGCTTGAGTAAATCAATGAACAACGGGGATGGCAGTGATACAGTGATAATTACAAACATCACTGATATTCCTATTCCCAAGGAAATAGGTTTTATACGGAACTGCTCACATCAGGGGAATTTTCAGCAAACATTTGTCAGTCAAAAGGCCTCTGAAATCGTGTAAATTAAAAGAAGAACAATTCATGCTATGGTATCATCAGTATCTCTAAACCCACTTCTCTTATAAATAGATCACTATTAACACCATTCTTCACAAATAGACCTAGAAACTATTTCTAAGTCTATAATAGGTCAAATCAAAGAATTATTACTTATGGAAAATATTTTTTCACTGAAGGAATTTACAACTAAACAGTATATATTTATCTTGCTTCCTGCCACACAGTCCCAAATACATAAGAGACTTATGATAGGGACTGATAAACTAAGACAACAGTGTATCCAGGGCATTTCCTGAGCTGAGCTTGGGAAAATTAGGAAGTTGAATATATTCTCACTGGGTTTTACAAATCTATGACTACCACTAGCAAATGTTCTTCACACAAAGGGTATTACACATTTCATAAAAATCATAAAGTGCCATTCATACTATATTTTCTCAAGATGCATGAAAAACTATGGCATATGTTGTTATACTTCTTAATGGAAGACAAAACGAAAATTCAGAAAGAATGAGGAAAGTGCCTAACTCTCACCTTTAGAATAGGTAGTAGAGATGATATTCAAATGAATGTTTATCTGGTATTATATTTTGCTACTGTATCCCCCTGCCTACTCTTAGAAATGAGATACATGAAAATCATCACAGAGTGGGTACAAAGAGCCTTACCTGTTCTATACAATCTTTGGATAATGGTGGTGAAGGAAATGAAGCAAAAACCAGGACTCCAATATAGAGATAAGTTAATGTCACCAGCAGATAAGCAATAGACAAGTCCCTCACCTAAAAACAGAGAAAAAAAATTCCCGTAATACTGAATAAATGTGCAGAAGATCTTCCTGAATATGTCAAATAAAAAGACATTAATAAATACAAAGTTTTCTTTTTGTTTTATGGGTCCAATCTTCTAGGCGCTCATTCTGTCACACAAAGTAGTTAAGTGAAAGTCACATTTTCTTTAAGTCATCTAATTCCCACCCCCCCACCCCCCCAGTATTTTGGACTACACAGATTAATCTACCCCTTGGCAAATTTAGTACTGGAATATAAACAGTAACATAACATGATTGAAAGTCTGAGTGTGAGAGATTGCACAGTTAGGTTTCTTGCCTTACCTGCTGTCAATATGTTGAGTCCCTGGCAATGCATATGGTCCCCTGAGAACCTCACGGTGTGGCCCCAAACTCCCTAAAAAAACCCAAAAGGGCTGGAGCAACTGTATAGGATTAAGGTGCTTGCCATGCATGCAGCTCACTCCTATTCATTTCCCAGCAACACTTAAGGTCCCCTAAGCACCACCATAATAATTCATGAGCAAAAGCAACCAGGAGTAAACTCTGAGCACATGGGAGTGTGGCCTCAAAACTAAACAAAACCAAAAATACAAAACAAAACCAAAAATCTATAACCACATAAGAACCAAAAACTATGATGGAAATTTTGACTGAATTTCAAAGGTGAATTATTGCCAAGTTTTAATAAAGGGACAATAAGAATGTAATAAGCATGACTTACGCTTTACCAGGGAGCCACATCCGTAAGCCCCCATATTAAAATATTTTTAATAAAGAAAGAATGCTAGTTGAAGAGTAGATAATAAGTAGGTACTAAAGACAAGCTTAATAATCTTAAACAGTAAACAAAAAGAAATCAAAAGACAGCTATTTAAACAGCTGCATAATGTTATTTTTGTAACCAGTAAACAAACACAGACATTTAATAAAATGAAATGTTTTCTCCCACTCTTGTTCCCATCCTCTGAACCTTACACTCCAATCCAGAGTAAAAAGTTCCAAGATATTTAATGCAGCCAGCTGTTAGATCCAAACAGAACAAATTCCACAGCTCAGAAATCTGGTCTCCATCACCACTAAAATTATGGCCAAACAATTTATTACAACAAACTATGGCAATAAGCCTATACATTTTTTCACATTATGCACAAATTAGTTTGAAAGTTAGGAAAACAGATTTAAAAAAAACAAATACAATTTTATTTCACAGTAAAAACACAATTAGAAAACTAGATACTTGGTGTTTGCAAACATTTGTGATTTAGGGGAAAACTTTCTTCCTTAAATGGGCTAAACAATACCAGACCTAGAAATTTCAATGTTTGATAAAGCCACAGTAAAACGTCAGTAATGAGCTAAGAAAAATTATAAAGTAGGTCAAAGTTGACAATCAACTTGAAAACAAGACAAAAAATCAGGGTTGTTCTGATGGTCTATGTAGCTATAGGAACCTGAATTCAGCAACTTGTTTCCAGTTCTTTCAAAGAGCATCTAACTGTTTAGGATAGAGGAAGGAACTGTGGACCAAACCTTCAGGAGTTAGGGAGATGGGTTGTCTGTAGTTCTTGAGATTCCAGGGACCATTCTCTGGCTCAACTTATAGTCATCCTAAGAGTAGTCTCATGGTCTAGTATAGGACCAATAGAAAGGAATGAGGCAATGCTTATTTTATATCAAAGGGTAGTATCAATGATGATGTTTGAAAGTAACTCTATCTCCAACGTATTTAAAATCTCAAGAATAGAGCTAGGCTTGCAAATCACAAAATCTTGGAAGGCCAAAACAATTGTGTCAAAGAGATCTGTATAAAAGAGGGACAGTGACCAACTGATGGGTACTAGTTTGGTGGTATATCCCCTGATAACAGCTTCTGACTTCCTGCAAAGAGACATAACTTAGCAGACATTTGAGAGGAAACCGATGAGGATATGAAAGTCAAATGCAGGGACTTTCCAATAAGATAGTTTTCTCCTTCTGTTTCCCTTCTTATAGTACTTGATACTGATCTTAAATAAAGTATCTATTATGCAGAATTAGAATGTCATTGATTTTTATTATACAAGTAATATATCTTCTTTAATATGAAGACTCTCAAGGGAAAAGACAATGTCCCTTAACATTCCAAAGCAGTCGTGGTTTACACTTTTTGCATCATATTAACATTTTCTTTTTTAAAAAATATAAGTTGGTCCATTTTATAAGATTTCCTAATGACAGCGACTATATGCATTTTTTCATTGTTATATCTTCACACATAGGAGAGTATACCAGATACATAAACAGAAAGTCAGTTGATGTAGAAAATACCAAATAGAGATAATAAAAACCATGCTGGCTAGATTTGGGTGGGGCAAATAAGGAAGAGTGCTGAGGATGAAATCCAGGCTTCCTAAATCTGAGGCATTCACTTTCCGGCTGAGCCACAGCCCAGCCCTTGTCTGTAATAACTTTTTGTTTGTTTTGGGCTATACCGAACATGCTCAGAGCTTACTCTTGGCTCTGTGCTCAGACTGACTCCTGGTGGGGCTCATGGGACCATTTAGGGTGCTGGGGATTGAACCCAGGTCAGCTACATATACAGCAAGCACCCTACCAGCTACATTATCTCTCCAGTCCCTGTCTATAATTTTTATATTCTGCTACTTTCTTTACTAAGCACATTACTAGCATTCTCATTTAATGAAGTTATGATCATTTTCTTCATTCATACATGTACAATAAGCTTATAAAATCTGCTTACTGCTAAACTAATTAGCTGGTAAAGTCTATATTCATGCCCAAATCTTTATTTCTGGCCCCAAATTGCATGCCTTAAGCTACTACAATGAACCATTTTCTTATACATTTATATGTCACAGGTAACAAACAACAATAAATAAAATGAGAAGTAACAAATTATGAGAAAGAATTGAGCACACAGATGTTAGAGAAACACTAAAATCAGAAAAGCTCTATTTCACAGTAGTTTATAGTAGAACTTAAAGTTGCTGTTTCCATCTGAAAATACTTTAACAAACTCAAGCCATTACTCTACTAAAACTATAGATATTGGCTTCTTAAAAGCCATTTAATTATATATAACTATATAGTAATTCAAATTCTTAATATTTAAAAAGTACTTAGAAAACCTTTTGTCAGTTTTTTTTTAAAATTAAATCACTATGAGATGCAGTTACAAAGCTTTCATGTTTGAGTTTCAGTCATACAATGATCGGACACGCATCTGTCCTCCAATGCACATTTTCAACCACCAATGTCCCCAGTATCCCCCACCCTCCATCCCAACCTCCCCCCTGCCCCCACACCTCTATGGCAGACAATTTTAGAAAACATTTTAAAAATAATTTTAGAGGTGGGGAAAAAGCTATCTTTAAAAAAATGGGGCTCAAAGTAAAAAATGTTTAATTTTTGGGGTGTGTAAAGGTAAAGGCCCTCCCGTTGATCGTCGATTTGCTCGAGCGGGCCCAGTAACGTCTCCATTGGAGACTTTGTTGTTACTGTGTCTGGCATATCGAATACTCTCGGTAGCTTGCCGGGCTCTCCGAGAGGTGTGTGGGTTACCACACCTGGTGGTGCCCAGAACTTACTCCTGACTCTGTGGCAGGGATCATACCTACTGGGTCTTGGAGGACCAGATGGGTTACCAAGAATCAAATCTGGGTTGACCATGTGCAAAGCAAGCACCCTACTCTGGCCACAAAGTACAAAATATATTTAAAGAGTCACGAGTGATCATCTGCCCTGGTACTATGCCAAGAATTCAATTCTGCTTTGTGAATAAATAAAGACTGCCAGGACTCTTGGAAGGACCTAATCACAGCGATAATAGTACTGCAGCACTGTCCTCCCATTGTTCATTAATTTGCTCCAGTGGGCCCAGTAATGTCGCCATTGTGAGACTTGTTACTGTGTTTGGCATATCGAATATGCCACGAGGAGCTTGCCAGGCTTTGCCGTGTGGGTGAGATACTCTCGGTAGCTTGCTGGGCTCTCCAAGAGGGGCAGAGGAATCGAACCTGGCTCGGCAAGGCTGGCCTCATGCAAGGCAAACATCCTACTGCTGTGCTATCGCGACTTAAAATGATAACAGGGTTTACAGCAGGGCAAAGTGGGTTTGAGAGCTCATTCTGTTTTTCAAACATGACCTATAATTTGTTCCATGAACCATTCACAGACAAAATATCTAGTGAGGCATTAACATGATGGAAACTAACCATACAAAACTACTTAATCATTCAAATAAAGATTTCTACAGATGTTTAGTTAAGTAGACTACACAGATTTTTAAGTGAAGATGCAAAAAAGGAAATAACAAGACATAAAGCAGGAGGAAAAGCTAAATAAATGCAGGCAAAATATTAAAAAACAAACAAAAGGCACTGCACAAGATTCCCATTAAAGCGTGATGGAGAGAAGAGAGCTCAACAGGCAGAGCACATGCCATGTAAGCAGGAGGCTCAGGCTTGCTCCCTGGCATCACACTGTCCCTCAAGCACTGCTAGGAGTGACTCCTGAGTACCGAGCCTGGAGTAGCCCATCTAGTACAGGGCCTGGTCCAAATATCAAAATAAACATATGAAGAAACACCAAAGGGTTGGTCTACACATTAAGGACGGTGGTAGAGACTCTATATTCCCTTTCTTTGGGGATACCAGCAGGTGGAAGGAAAGAGGTGTGGGGAATCAGAGTGGAGTTCTGGTTGACTTCTTGTGCCAGGGATGAATTCATGACTGCACATGTGTGAGGTATACACTCTACCACGGAGCTCCATTACTGGTCCCAGGACTACAGATGTTCGGATGACACAGAATGAGTTGGATGATCTTTAACAATATAACTTTTTTTTCCTTTGGGGGGCAGGGGGGGTGGAGGGGGTAAGGTACGCCTTACTAAGAAATAGGATTATGTCCTGTTAAGTTATATATATATATATATATATATATTTATGTATAAATTTCTGTGTCTAGTTAAAAAAAAGTCAAACTTGGA